TTACTTACTCTTATATTGAACAGGATCCAAATACAAATAAAACCATAAATTACCACTTTTATAAAAAAAAAGTTGCCAGTGTAAAACATTGTCATTGAGATGCTTATTACTGACAAAAGGGTGCAACATTATCCTTGAATACAGTCAATCCCGCAATTTCTCACATTGGATCTCGACAGTCGCAGGTCTGTGATGGCAACCTAACTGTACAGGGCAGACAGCTATGAAAATATTGGGTATGGTCTACATACTCATCTCTTTCCAACATTAATAATATTAATAATACACAGCAGTCTCTTTGAAATAGCTGTTTCTCTTCTGGGACTGCCACCCTTCAATTAATGTAGTAATTTGAATGAAGAACTTATCACTTGGAAAAGGGAGTAACAGCAACACATTAATACTACTCATAGAGAGAATATAATATGAGTAAAAAAAGCATGAAGTGAAGAGACAGTATGCTGGTAAAGATTACTTAAAATGGGAGATAGAAGCCAAGGTAAAAGTGTGAGCAATCTCTCTTTTAGTTTTAGTAAAAGTTTTACGGCACTTGCAACACAATGAGGTCATATAAGTGCCGAAGATTAGAGGTGTTACAAGAGAGTAACAAACACAAAAAAGGAGGAGGAGAGAGAAGGATGATAGCTCTTTATAGGAAAGAAGAGAAGCAAACCACACCAGAGCACCCGCCAACCACCCACAGCAATCACTCTGATTTTAAAATAACATATTGTATTTTTATAACCAGCATGGCATAAGCTCACATCTGATCAAATTAGATCTCTACATGGAAGCAACAAAGGAAGGAAACTACAGCCAATGAGTCATTATACAATTCAAATACATAAAACAGAGAATTAAATAAGGATTTGCGTCAAAATAGGGCCGTGCGTCAGGAATGACACAGGAAGGACACATGTCAGAAGGCACTTTGTGAACACAACACAAAAGTGTTGACAAAAATTATAACACCATAGGACAATGCACAGGAGTTAATATCATACACCACATAGGTCTTTTAACCAAAAAAAAAACCCTCAGCAACCCTTAAACAGAGCTAAAACATTTTACCATTATCATCAGACAACATTCACCATAGACAAAGACTGCACAGCAATATAATTAAAAAGCACATTACAGGTTCTAATATTTCTACTTCTACTGTTCTAGAACATCAACAAAAAAGTGTGAAAAAGAGGTTGATCTAAATAAGTCCACCACCAATACACAAGAATTTTTAAGTACATACAATCATTTTTAGGCTCCTGATAATGCATACTTGAATTGGTAAAAATCTTTACAACCCTTACTTTTTTAATAAAACCACTCTCGAGCCTGGAGGTTCACAGCAATTTCAACTAGGACTTGTCTAGCCACTTTGGTGTATCCAATAATTTTTCTTTTGCTATTAAAGAATGGAATAGGTGTTTTTCTGCCCTAACAAGAAAGGTGTGGATCTATTCTCACGAAGCTCAAAAAGTCAAGCCAAAAGTAGACAACTGTTTACACACTTCTGTTAAAAGACAGATAAACAATGAGAGAATCCTACCACAAGACTGTCATCAAATTACAGCTTTCAGATTGTGAAACAAACCCTATTTAAGTCATCATAATTCAAAGTCCAGGCCGTGGGCATACTTACTTGAGGACAGTCTTGTGATACTTTTGAAAAGTATATCTTCAAGTCCTTCACTACCAAAAAGAGAAAAGTTTTAGTCTAGAGCAACAGATAACTACTTAACTACCTATTTTTCCAGCAAACAAGGGGACTCGGAAAGTAATTGTAAAAAATAATGAACACAAGTAAAGCTCACTTTACAAGAGATGATGTATTTGGAGTCCACTGAATTCATGAAGGCAGTGAGAATGAGAGTACAGACAATAAAAAATTCAATTTTACACATCATTATCCGAGGAACACCTATGGCATTGTACTGAAAAACCACTGCAGGATTCAGTTTGAGTAAAGAGAAACACATTCATACAATAACAGTCATTTTGTGCTTGGAACAGCAGAGACAAGGAGGGGATGTGGGTAGAGTAAATAAGTCAGATTTTCCAATGGCACTCTTCAGAGTAGTCTCCGCCTAAAAACACAGAGCTTGGGAAAGCTCTTAAGTGCATTTTTTACATGGAGCATACGTTTACACGAACCTGTAAAAGGGGGAAAGAGGCGCAGCAATCTCATTTCCTTTTTATTTTAGTGACCTCCCTTGAGGGGTGGGGTTGCTTTTGTCGACAATTCAAAGAAAACGGACTGTTATGTGGAGTCAGTGAAGGATTCCCCGATAGGGGTTATGATTACCAAGGCATTGAATGGGTGATGAAAAGAAGCAGAACAACTGACTCTCTAGACTTATGTGCACTAACATGTTGGGAATAGATGAAGAAACTGTTGATGACAGTCATAAGGAAAAGCTTCAGCATCACAGCTTTTCAAAAAAACACTCCCGATTGCTTGTCATCTATTGCAAATCAGTAAATGCAATGATGACAACGGGGGCTCTCGTGCCCTAGAGGTTAAGGTGTTGGCCTCTCATTCAAAGGTCCCGGGTTCGAATCCGGGTAGCGACCAAAAAATTTTCTTCTCTAAAATTGTCTCCTTTCACCTCCTTTCCTGCTCTCTAGCAATATTCTGTCGTCTGCTTTCGTCTCCTCTTTCTGCCCCCACTCCTCACCTCCTTTGCCCCCTCCTCTGGGCTTCTGACTCTTTCTGCAGCCTTTCTACTGCTACTCCTTGGCTCTTTCTTACTGCTGTCTTTCTGCCACACCCCTGATCTTCTGGTAGGAAAGATTTACACCTAGCCTTCTCAGACAAGGGAGAAAAATCTCGGAGGGCCCGTGTGCAAGTTGCGAACGTTAAAGATCCCCTGGTGGTCTAAAATCGATAAGAGTAGACTTCCCCCGGGCAAAATTAAAAATTTCCTGCCAACTAAAAGTATTACGTGTGTCCAGCGCGCTCAAATGACCTTATGCAGTTGCGAGCACCGTAAAACACTTTACAAAAACAAAAACAAAGTTGCAGAACCAGCAGTCCACTATCCCTGAGATCTAGCAGGGGAAAGCAAAGAAGAAGAAGGCCTATCTAGTGTTCTACAACATTCAAGTGTGTTGCACATCATATTCATAGGCCTAACTAAACATTACAGTCACTCACCAACCACTGAGAAACTTTCTCACAAAGATGCATTACCAGTGACCAACCAAAAGACATTTCAGTCACCCCCCCCCCCTCTCCCCATATCGCTTACCCAGTCCAATACAGTCTCGTCAAATGTCCGGTTGTCTAGACTTTTCTTCTGCAAACTGTGTAAGTTGTAGCTAAAATTTCCTTTTGTCAAGGTTTACCTGTCGGGGTGTTTTATGGATCCAATCATGCATTCTGAGGGAGTGACCATGCATTTGTATGTCTAAATTATATAGTAAAAAATCTGTCATTCGATGAAACACGCATTTGAGCGGAGTAAGCCTTTGTATGGCGTGAATTTAGGCGGGGACTACTGTACCAACAAATAGTGAAAAAAGTGGTGTTAACTTATATGAATATTAAACATTCCATCAAAAAGTAAAATATGCATTCTTCCACAAGGCATGATACCAGGAACATAACATCATGTACAAGAACTGATATTGTGAACAAAAATTTGATTCCTTCAAAACAATTTTTTAAATTGGAATGGTACAATAAACAGAAACAGCAAAAACAAGATTGTGAATGAATAAATTAACTTTTGGACAACGCCCTCTTCCAAAGTTGATCCACTAATCTTCTTGATGCTCCTGAAAACAATCACATTCTAAGGAGCACCAGACTTATAAAAATAGGGAGACCTCTTCATGCCTAAACAGAAAACTGAGACACTTTCCGAAATCATCAAATAAGAATAGCATCACATCAGAATGGTTCCCTTTCAGAAAGGAGAAGAATTCTTTGGCCGTTACTTTTGCCAATCTTCAGTGAATTCTTTTCATACGATCTTATTTATATTACCCTAGGGTATCGAATAGGCGTTCCCCCTCCCCCTCCCCCGCTTATTAATTTTCTTTTTCTTTTGCGCCCCACCCCCTCCTTACTTATTCCATACCCCCAACTTATTATTTTCCAGCTTGCCACGACAGACGATCATGTGAAACATTATACTAGAATCCAGATATCAGAATGAAACTTTTTTTTTTTTATAAATGGCAAATTACTCTCAGTATTAGTACCAGTACCGGGTTGGCTACCTCAATTTTTAGTGCATTTTGATACTTTTGTACATTGGTTTATATTTTTTTTAATGAAACTGGTTCGTTCCTAAACGGGAAAAATTGTCACAGTAACTTACTAAAATGATAAAATTTCATGATCTGTTTTTTTTTTATTCACTGAAAGATAAATAAAACAGATTTGTTCCTACTAGATTCTAGTACAGGGATATGAGGTTCAATGCCCCCCCCCCCCCCCTTACCCTCCCTTTTTATTCCCTTTTATTTCAACCCCCGTTTATCAATTTTGGACCACTTGTCCATCCCCCCCCCCCGCTTTATTCCTACCCTCCCTTTTATTCGATACCATAGGGTACCAAAATATAAAAAGAAATCAATAAATAGCAAAAATAGGAATAGAGTTCCTAAAATAAGCCAAGAAGTATGATATGCATTTAAGTCTGTGTTTGACTACAAAATATAAAGCAGCTTCGATTTTCCCTGATAGGACATAATGGCCCACTCAACGTAAATACATGAGTAGTCAATTATAACGTCCAAAAAAAAGTTCTACAAAATACACACTTAATCATAACAATATTAAATAATTTGCTTATTTATATAAACACCTTTTCCTGCCATCTCAGCATGTTAAAAAACATAGAAAATGTTCAAACAGGCTTGTTCAACTCAACTTTTAAAATTCACCCGATCTTCACTGCAATTATGACTCCATAGTTCCATAAATAATCAGACATTGCCAGTACTATAGATTCAAGTTACTTTTCCTACACCAGTCTAAATCAACTTCCTTTCTCAGCAACAATTCAATTCTGGGTCATAGTTAACAGAGCTAGATACCAGAAGTCAAAGGCACTAGTGTGGACCCATACATGACTCCTCTCCTCATTGTAATTTTCACTGTCAATTGAATTTATTACTTTCTTCCATAGAAAATATCCAAACTAGGAGTATTTGACACCTTTCGTTCATTCATAACCAATGGCTCAGAGCTCATATCAGCCATATGGTTGAAGGAGTTGAGAGTGAAGACAATATCAAATTTCATCATTTATATAGCTTTCAGGTTATGTCTTATTCAAATTGCTTTCCTAAAATGATTCTAATGCTATACATGAAGCACAAAACTACAGAGGAAAAATTGCAGAGTATGTTAAGGCCCAATATGCTAAAAGGAAAACAATTTTAAAAAGCAAACAGTTTCATGCTTAGGACCTGAAACACACACCCTCTGAACAAAACAAAAAAATTCCAATAACAAATGATTCCTTTGTTAAACTTGAATCTGCTGTAAGCCTAAACGAGCGGCTTTCACTTGGGCAAGTCTGTTACCTCGCAGGGTGAACTGCGACCATGCCAACAGTTGCAGAACAGCACAGATGACAGGAACACAGATGAGCATGGAGAACACACCGGTCTTGTACATGGCTTGGACGCCGTCGTCCATCTTGGTAAGATCAAGCTTCAAGGACCCAGACTCATTTCCAGACTGGAAGATGTCGTGGCCTAAATGAGAATGAGACCATGGTATAAGATAACTTATATTTCTGGAGCGCAACATCAATAAAATCTGTTTAGAGCTACATTGGTGTCTAAAACAAGAATGATAAATACATTCCAAAATAAAGGTTATAATGAAACCATTTTCGTAGGCTGTGATACTACAATCAAAACTTGAAACTGCTACAGCAAAGGAATAAATAGAGGCCTTTTTTCTTCCCATTCCAACAGATCACTCCATGAAATTTCAGCTTCCAAGAGGAATACTCCTGTCTCAAACACAAAAGTACTGTTTCCACTAACAATATAAGGTGATAAAAGTCTTGTAAAGGAATAACTGGTGGCTTTTAATGGACAAAGAGAGCCCAGAGGACAAGTTTTGACAAGTAAAACAAAAGAAAAATTGAACTTTGAGCGAATTGGGTTCAAAAACAGCACTAAAAAGGACTCATACCTGGTTCACAATTGCAGTCCTCATGTACATGTGTATAGAAAACTTAATTATACGGCAATTATAGGTCCTTGCTATCTCCCATGAACACACTAATCCTTACCAGTTTGCAGAGCCAATATCCAAGTCCCTATCACAGGAGCAAGAGTTTGGCCAGGCTTAGAAACAAGAGCTGCAGTGCCAAACACTAGGGCAGACACAGCCTTGGGTCGGGAATGAAGCACCACATCTTCATCTACCAGGTCACTGATCACTAGACTCAGCAGCTTGCATGTGCCCTCAGTGAACACTCTGTTACTGAAAATGGGGGAAAAAATTACAAAAAGAGAAACAGATTAAGAAACAAACAAATCTCCGCTGAACTTTTCCGCCCTCAGCTTTTCTCCCTTTACATTTTTCTATTCATGCTTAGATGTTACTTTTTTTTTTCCGTATACATGCCTCATGAAGAATTTCACCATTAGCTTCTTTATTGTCTTGAGGCGTGATCTTTCCATGTTTGAAATTTCGAGCACTTTTTGGTTTATCTCCTTTTCTGTCTGTGACATTTTCAGTCTACCCTTTATGAACCACATTTCTGTTGCTTCTAATTTTCTTTAAATATTGCTGCTAACTGTCCATCACTCACACCCATATAAAAAAACCTGGCAAATATGTAAGCCTGAACTTAATCTGAATTTGTAGTTATTGTAATGTTCCTGTTTGGAATGATCCGGGTCAGCTTTCTAAAACTATCTGTGGATGTGGCACATCTTTGGACTTCTAATATACATTGTCCTTCAGATATTAACAAGTGACCCAGATACCTGAACTTATTGACTTGTTTGTTTCATTTCCCATAACTTTGACATTGTATGGTGGGGCTTGAGTCTTTGGAAATTGCCATCCTCTCTGGGGGTGGTTTTTTTCATATCTAGTGCCAGACTTTTTCTTTCATTTTCTTCTACTACAGTATTCTGTACTTTTTAAGAGTGTGTTCTTGTACGGAGTGGCAACTCCCCTGATGTCGGGTGGCTAGTGTCAGGCTACTCACTGATGTCGGGGGACTAGCGCCAGGCTACTCGCCCAATCTAGGATTTCTGCGGATGTTCCGGGCGAACGAATTCAGTCGATTAGCCCCGCCTGGCCTGCGGCTTCTGGCCCTTGGGGATTTCTGCGCATGTTCCGTGTTTTGATACGTGGGGATTTCTGTGCATGCTCCTTTAAAACTCGCTTGATCAATCGCGCAAGATTCAGTCACTCACCCGGTCACTCCTTGTTCTCCAAGTCAAGAGTCAGATCGGTTCTAACGTGAAAGTTTGACTCTAACTGCAATTATCTGACCACATTGACATTATTATAATACATGTCATGTGTGAAGATGGAACTGGCCATAATGTGTACAATAATGACTGTATTGCACCAGGCCAGCTTGTGAACCGACGCAGAAAGAAAATGACAGGAATCAATAATTCTAATAACAAAAACACCCTCACCCCTTTCTCTCTCTCTCTGTGTCTCTCTCTGTGTCTCTCTCTCTCTGTGTCTCTCTCTCTCTCTCCCTCTCTTTCTCGTTCTCACTCTCTCTTTCTTTCTCCCCCCTCCTCCTCTCCCTCTTTCTCTCTCTGCCCGAAGACAAAATTTATCACTTTCAACTCAGCGCTGGAACGTTTGTTTACACTCGTATCACGGGTCGTCACGTGTTAAGAATACGAGGTAGATCTAGCGCCCAAGTCTCGTTCAGACGCGAGATAGGACAATTGAAACATCTTGGTAGTAATATGACAATTTTTAATAACATTACGATGATGCATTTCTATTGCTGGTAACTTTGTCACCGGCATTCCGATGAATGATAATAATTGAATAATTAATAAAGGGTGATAGATCTAGGGGATCTACAACAATGTAGTCAACTCGTGAGGGAAACCTCTAAAAAGACAAAAATAGATGGTGGAAAACATCGCCTATGATCTATTTTGGGCCAATCACAGAAGTGTGCTAGGTGCTCTCAATAGCTTCATGTCGCTCGGAAGGCCGCGAGGCCGTGTTTACGCTACCTGATACGGGTGCCCACTATGGATGGGATCGCTGGACTCGGTCGCCTCAAAATCAAACCTGTTTGTTTTCAGTTTCAGGTGATCGAGTCGGGCGATCGGCTCGATCCAGCCATAGTGGGCACCCCGTATAAGACTAAAACTAGACCTCGGTGACTAGCTCCGGGTGAGCAGAAAATGCTAGCCACCCGAGGTAACAGAAATCCCCACGGGCCAGTAGCGTCAGGCTACTCGATCGAATTCGGTCGACTAGCCTGACGCTAGCCACCCTAGATCAGGCGAGTAGCCTGATGCTAGCCACCCGACATCGGGCGAGTAGCCTAACGCTAGTCACCTGACATTGGGCGATTAGCACCGGCCATTCTTATACTACAATTAAAAGAGCAATATCAGCATACCTCAGAATGTTGACTTTCTGTCTACTCAGACTTATTTCTTTACCGTCTTTAAAGTTAAATGTGTCTTAATATCGTCTCACTGTATTTTAAGGCTTATCTTCCAGCAGAATGAAATGTCCTTCCCTTCCAAGAAGCAATAAGACTTTTTACAAAGATGCCCTTAGTCATTTGTACAGCCTGGTTTCTCCAGATTAGGGTAAGGACTAATTCAGAATTTGTAATCGAATAGTTATCACACTCAGGAAAAGGAACACACATAGATCCGCGGTAGATCTAGTGCCTAGTGCCTACTTATCATTCAATCATTTATTCAAATTACTAGTCTGGAAATCCCACGGGGAGACAATGTGACGATGTGGTGCCATACAATGCTCATGCTTAGAAATCATTGACTTCATTTGTAAAAACAGCAAAGTGCATCCAGTTTTAGGCCCCTCCCTCTTTCCTTCCCCAGTGCACACAGCATGACATATCATCATCATCATCCAGTGCCATATCTGCGACTGACATCAGCGATTATGGTTCTCTATTCATTCCTTTGCTCGGATCCTCTCAAAAAAACTACGTTTCCCTGATCTTTCCATGTTACCATTTGTTTAGGTTCCCTAAGTATGTTGTTCTGGGCCTATCCCTGCCTTGCTTGCCCTCAATTTTGCCAGTGAGAGCTAGATGTTAAAGACCCTTATGCCTTATGTCTATTCAGGTGTCCCAAAAACTGCATTTGCCATTTCCTGATTGTTTTTAACATTGAGCGCCCCAAGTGGGCTTCATCAAGCACTACCTCATTTGATTTCTTTTCCTTCCACGATACTCTTATCAGTCTCCTAAGAAACCAGATTTCTGTTGCTTCTATCTTATTTTCACTGTCTTTAGTGATTGTCCAGCATTCACATCCATATAGAAGGGTGGACCAAACATGCATTTCAGAACTTTCATTTTGATGTTCATTGAGATGTTTTTATTTTTCAGGATTGGGCTCATTTTATTGAAACTAGCCTTGGCCATTGTAATTCTCCATTTTATTTCTGTGGAACATTTTTGGCATCAGATGTTATAATATATACTAGATATTTAAAATGTTGGACTTGTTTGATCTTTTCACCTTTGCTAATGAGAACTAGGATTTGCTGCTTTTTTTGGATATTACCATGCATTCTGTTTTCGTTACATTCAACACTAATCCTTTACGTTCACTTTCTGTTACAACAGTATCTAGAAGCAATTGAAGGTCCTTTTCGGAGCCTGCTATTAAAATTGTATCATCTGCATACCTGATGTTATTAATATTTTCTCCATTTACTTTGAGACCTGGACATTCTTCTTTAAAAAAAAACCAAAAAAAACAACAAATAAAACTTTTACCTTTCTTTTGGTACTGGTTTTGGAGTGTGAGTACAAAATTCTAAAAAGAAAGAAAGTATTGTAACTCAAAAATTAAAGAAAGTTTTCTTTTCTCTCTTCTGAAAAGTATTCCTTTCTGGGTTTAGAACATTTAAACAGCTTGGTGTTGATATGATTTATGCATGATTAAAAAAGAGCTCTCTCTATGTCTTGCTGCTGTTCTGACAAAAACAAAGAACATTCACAGGACATTTGTTATATATTCAAAAGAACTATCTCCCCCAAAGCCAATTTCAAGGTAGGCCTAACCCAAACCAGAATTAGGCCATAAACTTAAGGGCAGAAATTAATGACAACATCCTTTAGTAATCTTTTACATTAAGCTCAAAGGATCATAAAGATCAAATGAAACAAAAGGCCAAGCTAGCAAAAATTTGAACTTGACCATGCAATTGCAACAATACATGTAGGCCTACCACTTCAACTAAGAATTACATATTTCAAACATAGCACCTCACGAGAGGAGCAGCTTGAAGTACGACTTATCCCTGTTTTGTAATCTTCAGAACCCAATGGTATCTCCTAGTCATTGTGTAAACCCAGAAAAGACAACTTAATGCATCCACAGACAGTTCCTACACTAGTAAAAATTTAGAACCATAAGAAAATCAATACAAGAGAATAAATATTTGTACGATTAAGATCAACATGCGGACACAATAGCATATATATTACATGACTTGATTGCTGCACGAGAGTGAACTTAAAACAAGACCCAATAAGATCAATTTACATTTGTATCCTCACCTTGCTATAAATAGACACAATAGCCAGATCCAGCTTGGGCCAGCAAGATACATGACAAGACTGAGGCCCAGTTTGACAAGGAAAAGGGACCGAATGATTGTGTATACTCCAAACTTTCGGCACAGCACCAGGAAATACAGATTGTTAATGTGCGGTGCCACAAAGGAAAGACCTGGAAAATAGATCATTTCAGCCTTTTCTATAAATCAACCGCCAATATTTGAACAAAAAATGTGTTTAAAAATCTCACTTTGTGTGTGTAAAATTGACAATCTGACAGGCAACGTTTCTAAGAGAAGGGAGATCAGCTCAAAACAACTGAAAATGTTTACGAGACAGAACCATTCATGCACTTAACATAAAAAAGTTTTATAGTAAAATTATTCAATTCTCTTGTAAAAATTACCTGTTTCTAATGAAAAAGTACTCATTTTTATTTCCTTATAAAAGACTGGCCCTTTTTTCCTCAAGAATTTTCTTCAACAACATGAACTCATCCTATGCGTACATCACTTGGCTAGGAATTGTAGGTCAACATATTACACGAATACACCTTATTTCAATCTGGCTACTATTACAAGCATTGTACAAAAAGTAAAATTTCATAATTATTTTAACAGTTTCTGTTTGATATATGCAAACAAACGTAAACAGGGTTCTGCAAGCTTTAGCTCTTCTAAAATTTGACAATTCATGCTTCTGTAGTGTGAGAATGATAAGAAAAAAAAAACAGCTGTGGAAAAAGCACCAAACTCTTTTCCTGTGGTGACAAAAGGAAAGCAGCAATGGACCTGTTTGGTTTTGTTCTCAGTCTTAATTTTGTCATTATTGCAGCCCACAAACAAACACTTTTCTGCTTTTTTCAAAACAATTTGTTATGTCATTGCAGGCACATTCAGTCAAACCTTGTTATACTGCCCCCTCTTGTTATGCCAACCCCACTTATCGCCAAGTTTTGCCAATGTACAACGAAAGTATAGTATTTGCGCCTTTTACACTACTATGTGCTAACTGTCTGATTTATACAGTCCTTATCAAAGTAATGTAAATTTGCCTCACTTAACTGCCAGCAAATAAGCCTCCAGAGGTACACACCTAAACCATTCAGTGGATGCTTTACAATCTTTTTCCCACATATGTCTCACACAGAGATTGGCCTATTTCTAGTGTTTTGTCACCAATTGCTCCTGATTTGCGCTGATTATGAAAATATTATTATTTTTAGGCTTTTTGTCAATGTTTCTAAATAATTTAACAGAAAGTTTTAAGTTGTCAGGAGAAACTTCAAAGGATTGTGCTACCTCAGCCTGTTGACAAAATATGTGGCGTTACCAGAAATCAGTCCAGAGACCAAAAGGCTGGCAGGCGCCCATGATGCTGGCAGGCGCCCATGAGGCTTTTAAATCGTGGGGATTCATGCTCAAGTTTACATGAAAAGTTTGAGACGATCCGATGATTGACGAGTATCGGGTAAAAAAAGAAAATATGTATACAGTATACCTCGACACAACCTAGCTTCTGATTCAGCAGAAGTTTTCCATTTGAATGTACGTAAAGTTCAGCTTGAGCTGTATGTATACTAGGTTACTACTCAATTTTCCCCTGCACATGGCAAGAGCTCAAGACAGATCTAGAAGAGTCAAAACTGGCCATATTTTGACTCTAGTCTCTACCAGTCTACCACAAGTCAAGATGGCGATCAGTCATCATCATCATCAATGCCTTTCACCCCTGGCAGGGTATAGGCCACATACAAGCTCCTTCCATTTATCTCTGTCCTGAGCCATCCTTCCAAGCTCGTTCCAAGTGAGCTTCATTTCTCTCATGTCCCTTTCCAAGCATCTCCTCCATGTTTCCTGTGGCCTACCCCTGCCTCGTGCTCCTTGTGATGTTTCCGCTGGGCTTTCTTAAGGTGTGTCCCATCCATCGCCACTTTCTTAGTCCTATTTTTCTATTTCTAAATCCTTTTGTCCTGTCCTTTCCCACAGCTCTTCATTCCTTATTCTATTCTGCCACTTAATTCTTAGAATACTCCTCATACATCTGTCGATGAAAGTCTGGACTTTATTCAGTACTGTCTTCGTTGTCTTCCAAGTTTCGCAGCCGTAGAGGAGCACAGACTTGACGTTGGAGTTAAAGAGTCGAATCTTGGTGTGCAATGAGATGTTGCTTGCTCTCCAGACTTTTGATAATTGCTTGAAGGCTGACCTTGCCTTGGCGGTTCTTGCTTTAACATCTGCCTCGGCAATCAGTGCTGTCCCGTTATACTACTAGCCCCACTTTACCGTCAGTTTCATACTTGTCCCAACTTCCTTACTACCCGTTACGCCATCTGGTGTTTAGGGCAGCAACAAAGGATCTCCAGCTCTGTCTGTTTAGGGCCATCTTGGTTAACGTCCCCCACGAATGGTTCCAGGACTTCATTTCAAACTCTACTATGCATCTCCAGGTCACTTAGGGTCTGCCCCTCTTGCGATGTCCTTCGGGTGTCCAGTGGAGGGCAGTCTTTACAAAAGAGTCTGGTTCTCTCCTCAGAACATGTCCCAAGGTAGGCGGTATAATAGGGTTTGACTGGATGTATATAAAGTCAGGTACAGATAACAAAAACCTCGAAAACTCGAAATCACAGATAGCTCATATAATATGTTATTCCCCAACTGATATCTCTTAAATTTTTAGCTGTACAGTTTACCCGAATAATGAAAGTGTCAAACACATTTGTCAATCCCCAACGTGTTTGAGTTATCCATGCCCCTCTATATAACACACATTCATTAGCAGGCACTATTCTGTCACTAACTGACAAAAATGTTCATGCTGTAAGGGTCAATATATTATGATCTGTGTAGATGGTACAAGTGGATATTTTTGGGACAAATCAAGGCAGAAAGTGGTGGTTACACAGTAGTGACCTACCTAATAATGTGGATGCAACCGTTGGGCTCACAGCCTCTCCAAGTAAGGTATCCAGGAACAGAGGGAAAAAATTAGAATTAAAGTGGCAGTGGAAGACCTGAAATATAGAGAGCAAAAAAATCTTCAAAGAACAAACAATATACACATCAATTCAAGCGTTAAATACTGACAGTCCGGAAAGGCTTATCCTCAATCCAGAAATTTTTGTTCACTCGTAGTCAGTGCTTTTCCTTGAGCGACAATAATTTCAAGCTGAAGCAAAAGTGGTGTCACTTTATATGGCATGGATGTAAAATTCTTCAAGCTGCCAATGGCTATATTGAAACAAGCCCCCCTCCCCTTGTCTCCTCAGTAAGAAAAATAAAAGACACTTGTTATTCAGACAGAAAAGATGGAGAGAGATCTAGAGATCAATATCCAAGTGCTATTTACTGAGACCACAAATATGTTAATATTGATGTATCAAGGACTTTTACTAAAAAGTAAGTAAAAGTTTTTCCACAACTCCAATATATAAAAAAACAAAAATAGATGTAGTACACAGATAATAAAATTCATTTAACATAGTCATCTGACCATACAGTAACTTGTCAGGGTTCTTTTAATACTGCATTATTTAGAGAAAGAAAAAAATAGCAAATAGTACTTGCTAAAAAAAATCCCTCAATGATCACTGCACTGTACTTACTACAAACTTCAAAACATAGGCCTACAACATTCAAGCTCTACCAAATAAAGTGTAGAAATTATGAAAAGAAAACTCATGATAATATAAGGATCATGCTAAAATGCTTGCAAATAAACTGAAAAACCAGTCAAACTTCAGTTCTACCTATTATTTTACATGTGGTAGAAGATGTGAAGTAAGATCAAGCAATACTCATCCTTTAAATCCTAGAGAGGGATACATACTCATTATGGTGGAATCTTACACAAGGCATGTTCAACCTTTTTTAAAAATAAGGTGCCAAACCTCTGCAGCTAACAGTGGCTTGTTTAATATTTTAATTTATTTAATTAATATTACAGGTGATCGCACAACACAAGTTACTGTTGGGATCAAATATGGCAGAATTTTGTTTTACGTGAAGTCTGTATCAACTGTGCACAAAATGAGGGGGTGAGATGAAACACCCGTTAAGCGACATTTGCTTAAAAAATCGAAATTTTTTGCCTATAAATGTACATTGTTACCGGCTATTAGATGTACAAAGTGCTTTCCACCAAAACCCAACATATCCTTCATAAAAGCCACCACCCGATACATCCAAAATCATTATTTTCCTAAACTCGATGCATCCTTAAATTTTCTTCATAGTGATGTCCAATGAAATTTCAAATCCTTTCACTTGACTTACTTTTCAAAAAGTCAGTTGACGAGTGTAAACAAGTCTTGTTCAGCCTAATACAACGGTTATTTTAATACGTTAGACGGTCTTCGTCATTTCATATAATGTCATTAGAGTGTGTTTATGAAAAGTTAATTAGAAGCTCTATTTATTCATTCATGGTGTAAATTTACATTTTTTTGCATTTGTCTGTGTCATGTTATTTGAGACTACACCCCTTTCAAAACACTTTTGCTAAAGAAGCTACTTTACAACAATTATTGGAATTTCACCTTCTGCCGGTAGACAAAAAATCCTTTGTTCTATGAGGCTTAAGTGTGTAAAGAGGACTGTACTAAGGCTGTAATTAGAGCAAAAGAGTGACTTAAAAGGCATAAAGGGACTTTTTTTTCCGGGATATAGCTGGTTTTGGCAAATCACTACCACTTTCATAGGCCTACCCCCAATTTTTTATTTTAATCATCATACATTTTTTTAGTCAAGCTTCTTGTGTTGGCCGACCAGCTCCCCACCACTCACTGTTGTACTTTCTGCAATCAGTTTGCGTGCGTACAGAAGCATTAAAAAAAGCTGATTTTTCTCAGAAGTGCTAAAATGGATGTAGCGGGTTTTGCATCTCAGCCTCTTGCCTTATATAGATCTGATATTATGAAATTTAAAGTACAATCTGAGGAGATTTCATGAAGCTCATACAGATTTAATGTTTGAGACTTGCCTGCACTAAATTCATAAGGGCAAACCATAAGAAATTCCGATGGGAGAGCAACTGTTTGCCAAATTTGACCACTGAGGCTTGAGTCTCCATTGAGCTGTCATCCTTGTGTTTATGAGACCTAAAACAATAGAGATAGAAGGTCTAATTAAGTAAGTAAATTATCATGCCATGTAAAGTCTCCAGACATTGCAGTTATGTCTCATCAATAAAATGACATGTTTAAAAGTTACCAGCTGTTGGAGCGATGTTGAAAACAGTTGTTTGTTCTCAAAACATTGCTCAAGATTTCAATCAAAGTGAAGAACACAGCACCGAGTCAACAAATAAAATCAGCAGTACATTTATTTATATATTGCCACTCATCTCTCCCTCTATTCTCTCCCTTTCCCCTCCCCCCCCCTCACTCTCACACACAAACACACACGCACACACACACACATGCTTGCTTTCATAAAATGTTGTCTAATATGTCTAATTCAAATATTATATTATAATATTAGAACATAGTTCAACATCATTGTAATGAATAAAATATAATATATAGTCTAGAGACACTTGCTCAAAATGCACAAGTAAACGTAAACTCACAGGACAATTTATAATCATTTTTCAAAAATACTACACTAAAATTTAAAATACCAGATTAAAAATTGGAAGTCATCATTCACACTGGGTGTGCGCATAAGAATTAATTTTATTCACATCGGGTGTGCGCATATAAGAATTAATATTATGAATATAAGAAATAATTCTATTCGCACAGGGTCAAGCCAACGTTGATTTTGGACCTCGTTTGTCACACCTGGGTCACCCACCTTTTGGCAAAGGCTTTATTTAAAATGTTAAAACAACTGTACACTAGTATAATATATATCATACTTCCAAGTTGTTTTCCACACATAACAAGATTGTTCACTCAGCTCAAAAAGTGTTCGCAGAAGTCCGCGCATTGCTTCAGATAGCGCTGGAGTCTTTGTTTTGAAGCTCTCTCCCATTTCTCCAGAAGAGGAACAAGAAATACAGTCTGTTAATTTCACTTTTATTGTTTTTCACACAAGTAGGGTCTCTGTTCGCAAAGTCCACATTTTTCAAAGAGGGCGCTACAAAATTTTGAGGACCCTTTTTTAATTGGCTCAAAGAAAGGAGTGAACTATCTTGTTATACATGATGTGATGATCTTTGTCTATACGCGATGAGGGGGAAAAAATGAAGAAATGCTAGGCCCAATTAAGTTCCATCCTTCTTTTGAAATGCCCTGTGCCAATAATAATATTATTTTGTACAGGGTTGGGTTGATTTAAATCAAGTTGATTTAAATCAGTTGATTTTTTTGATTTAAATCAACTTGATTTTTAAAATAAAAATCAGTGATTTAAATCATTTTTTTGAAAATTTATTTTTATTCAGTTTTTACACATTCATCATTCAGAATTCCTTTCCTTGGTTTCATAAAACAGATATAAGGTTTAATAGACTAATATAATCATGCTTAAAAGTCTGCTTCCCCCCCTTTCACTGTAAAATAATGTACAGTATTCAATTTACTTTTTTTTCCATAATTGAAATCAGAGCTGGGTTGATTTAAATCAGTTGATTTTTTAAATTTTAATCAACTTGATTTTTAAAATAAAAATCAATGATTTAAATCACTTTTCAAAAAAATGTATTCAGTTTTTTAATATTTAAACATTCAGAATTCCTTTCCTTGGTTTTATTAAACGATATAAGGTTTAGTAGACTAATATAATCATGCTTAAAAGTCTTCTTTCCCCCCAGTCACTGTAAAATAATACAGTTCTCAATTTACTTTTTTTCATAATTGAAAAGGGTTGGGTTGATTTAAATCAGTTGATTTTTTAAAATTTAAATCAACTTGATTTTAAAAATAGAACTCAGTGATTTAAATCACTTTTAAAAAATGTATTCTGTTTTTACATCTTTGAACATTCAGAATTCCTTTCCTTGGTTTTATAAAACAGATATAAGGTTTAGTAGACTAAAATAATCATGCTTAAAAGTCTGCTTCCCCCTCTGTCACTGTAAGTAGTAAAATAATACTGTATTCAATTTACTTTTTTTTCATAATTGAAATTAGCATTTTCTTTTTCTTTTTAAACAATCACAAGCGCACGCACACACACACACTGTAATAAAATGCAAGTTTATCTATGTATAATTACCCCCCCCCCCCCCCCCTTCCTTTTAGACTGACATTTTGTTCATTTTTTGTTTGCAGTCATAACTCACTGATATAGCAGATTAAGGCTTTCTAAAATTGCAGTTGCTTAAATTAATCATTAGTTAAAATAAAGACAATGCATTTTGCACTAAAAGAACTTACTTTTAGCCTCTAAAAATCCCAAACTGTGTCGACATTTTTTAAAAAATCAAAAAAATCAAAAAAATCCGATTTAAATTTAAAAAATCTGATTTAAATAAAAAAAATCACCAACCCTGATTTTGTAGTATTCACACACCCTGTGCAAATATAATTTCATAGTATTCACACTGTATTCACACACCCTGTGCAAATAAAATTTCATATAGTATATATTCGCACACCCTGTGCGAAATAACTACAACAGCCAATAAATTATTGTATTGAATAAATTAATAAATGGCACCGCACAGCCCTTGCCAATGTGGTCAACAATATACGTAACATTTTTGGGGCAAAAATACAACTTTTTTCAAACAATGCTTTGTCACATTAGTCATAAAACAGAAATCACAGTTGTTGTTTTTTTATCGGTACTACTGATACATGTTTGAAAAATTATTGCAGGCATGCTTTCCAGACTATAGAAAACTAACATAATATCGAAAAAAAACTCACACTTCTATTTCAGAAAAGGAGTCTTTACTTTGCTTTGTATAGGTTGACTTCAGAGCCTTCACCATGACCAGATATCCAGCAAATGACATCAAAGCCAAACCAAAACAGAATGTCCTAAATATTGACAGGCTTGCCTTGTTCCAGAACAGATATGATAAGAACACAGACACTGAACCAAACGCACTAAACACCGAACAACTAGAATTAAGTCTTGTTCTTTTATCACCAGATATGGATAAATCAGCCAGTAATGCATTATGGTGAAGATCAATCATGGTCAAAAATCCATCATACAGACATAAACAAACAGCAAATTGTAAGCCAGGCCAACTCCAGTTTATCCAAAACAGGGAAAATGAGATTGCGAAAAGCGGTCCATACGTGTGAAGGGCAGTCAACCTTGTCCAAATTATATCTGAAGAGTCATTTTTGGTGGGCCTCTGATCTTTCTTTGAACTTAAAAATTTGCTGTCACTAAACCATCCAAACAGGGGGTCGTTAAAAGAATTCCAAGCCAAAAATATTGCTTCTCCGAACCAAAATGAAACTTTATCGATTTTGTACACTGATACAAACGTGTCCACATGATAGAGCAAAAAAACATTGTGTAATATTGTTGTAAATAATGTGAGCGAACCATAGCTGGTTTCAAGCGATAAACCTTGACGAAGAAACATTTTCAACTCTGAAAATGTAATCAAATCAAAGAAGTCAGGATCCTATGATCCTATCTGCTATCATTTTTTCAACCGTGAATGGTGTAGTACAGGATGTGATCCCAGGTCCCAGGGCTTTCGGCGTTCGTAACACTTTTCACGTATTCCTAATTGTAGGCCTGTAGGCCTAGAAATCTAGATCTAGATGAGATCTAGATCTAGATCTAGATTGTAGATCTTTTAGATTAGATCCTATAAATATTCTTGGCCAGCTTGGTGAACGCAATAAAAACATCGGCCTAGATCTAGATCCTTATTAATTTCTTTGATCCAAGACATGAAGCCTCTAGAGTAGATCTAAATCTAGAACTAGAATATAGAATGTAACTTTCAACAGTAAAGAAATATTGTGCCCACTTTGTCAAAATTAAACTCCTCACCCAAAAGATTTCGTGCAAATATTTTTCATTTATTGTGACTTGTGTACCGTTGCTAGCTCAGACAACCTGTAAACAAGTTAAAAGCCTGTCACGTATCACCTGTTGCTGTGAATGACCAGTCGATCTTGGGTAATAAAGCTTCTTTCTTGAACTTTGATAGATATAGATGTAGATATCTAGATCTAGAATCTAGATATTAGATTAGATCTTTAGAAATCTAGATGATCTATAGAGTAAGAGGCCTAGACACTAGTGACTAGTGCTAGTCACTAGGTCGCTAGACGGTAGGGAAACCAGAAAAAAAAGCATCCAAATAACAGTGAACGACACTCTTCGGGAGAAGTGGTCCCGACCTAACTCTGTAGAAATTTATGTAGCCTAATGTAACAAGACACAAAACAAGACTGGTTCTTACCTAGATCTAGATTCTAGATCTAGAAAAATCTAGATCTAGATCTAGATCTAGATATATAGACATAGATCTACACACATTAGTTCACAAAGAGATGCTTCTTGCCTCCTAAATCCTCTTGCAAGAATTTTCACGGTCCTCTCAAATTAATCACCGGCCGGCATCTAACCACAACCTTCTCACCACTAGATCTAGATCTAGATCTATATAGGTACACAGTACTCACTCCTGCAATCCCTCTTCTCGCAAGAGTGAGTTCTCGCTCAAATTTTCTTAACTCTTACACCCCACAAAATTGTTTACTGAATGCACATTGCCGAATTGTCCAAAAACAACCTACATGACATTGTCATTAGCTTACACAATTGGAAACGAAAACGGAAGTCGAGTTAAGAAAGCTGGCATAAAAATGGATTTGGACCTTTTCTATAAATTTACCAGGGGCCTTTTCACCCTGGCAACTCAGCCAGCTATTTTTGTTTCCAATTGCGCATAAAAATTTCTATGGAGTTCAGCTCCCGAAGAGTGCCCACTGAACTCATCACACCTCCTCCCCCATGTAAACAACGTTAGTGATTGGTGGGCAAGATATTTCCTCTGTACTAAGTTAAACCCCCTCCCCCCCTTCTCTCTGTGTCTCTCTCTCTCTCTCTCTCTCTGTGTCTCTGTCTCTGTCTCTCTCTCTCTCTGCAAGAAAAATACTAAGAAAATTACTCACAATTCAACTTCAGCTACCTTTATAAAGTGATGAGTTCTCAGCAAGCAAAAAATACTGAGAAAATTACTCGCGATTTGACTTCAGCTTCCTTTATAAAAGCCTACATACGCCAGACATGGATTGAGTCAGCAGATTGGCCACCTTCCAGTTGGTCCTGCTTCTTCAGAGTTATGGAAGCTGCTACCTGCATCGTTTGCCAACAGGAGGTTAGACCACGACAAGAGGCCTTGTTGTATGATGGGGCATGCAGAAGATGGCAGCATCGTATTTGCAACATGACCGAATACAGTGGAACTCGGATTTAATGAGCTCGGATTCAACGAGAACTCGGATTCAACGAGATGAGATAGATCCCCCATTTTTTGTCTTCTTTAAAATCAATAAAAGTAACCCGGATTCAACGAGCACTTAAATCAGCGAGCTCAGATTCAACGAGGTCGCTTTCAGGGTGAACAGCCCCTGCAGACGTGGCTCCGCTAATTTTTCTCCCAGAACGAAGTTTATCTATTCCCGGAAATCATCAATTGCGCCTGCATCATGAACCATTATTCACTTACCTGATTGCATACGACCAATCAGCGGTCTTTTAAAATACCAACACATGAGTTGTGGGCACTCGCACGTGTCTACGCTGGCGTGTGTCAGGGTCGGATGGGCGGCCTGCACACGTGTGGCTGTGTGTGCGTGTCAGGGGGGGGGCAATAGCGGTCCGGGCGTTGAATGTCGCAGATACAAACGCGTCACTGTCTTTTTTTTTCCCCTCGGCAACTGATCGTTATTACAATAATAAGCTAGTCTTGACGCAGATCTATGTAATGAATTGTGCGCTGGTCTATGGAATCAAAAGTTGCCGTATGCTAGGCTCTACACAGCAACACAACTTATTGGTAAACAATCGAGATGACACAGGCGTATGCATTTGAACGAATCGGTCTTTTTTTTTTACACAGCTCATAATATGCAGGCATTTCAGGCACTACTTGTGACTTCTCTTGTACATTACTTGCTCAGTGCCTGTAATTATCTACACAAAACCTGGTGTTTGCTATAACGAACACTCGGATTCAACGAGATTTTATGTCCGGCCCACTGTACAATACAGACACGCTATCAGAGGAGAAATAGAGTTGGAGTGGAAGTGTAAAGACTGTGAGGGGAGGAACCCTAGTATTGTGAAGGAAGAACTTACAATGCTAGCATGAGCAGTGCCAGTTTCCAGCTCCTTGTCGAAGTGCTTGAGAGTTCACTGGCCGACAATCCTGTAACAACAGAACCGATCATGGAGGACCAGCCATCGATTTTCGAATTCATCGCCGAAGGCACACAACGAGGTTGTCCCTTGCTTGTGGATTCTGAGGGCTTCACCTATGGCATCCACAGGCAACACATTGGTGATGCACCAGGAGTCGGGCTGCCTGTAAGTGCCAGGTGATGGTCCATCAACATGGAGACATCTTCGCCAGAGGCACACAGAAGCATCTACCTTCAGCAGAATCTGGAGCGGTGATGAAAACGAAGCTGGTCAGAAACGTCAAGGAGACAGCTGCAGCTGCACCATACCAGTCAGCATACACCATTGCTGAGCATTTGCTTCAGGAGTCACAGCCCATTCCCAACCAGCGCAGCACCGACTATCTCGACAGAATTGCCAATTATCACCGCCAGCGAAGTCGCCCGTGCCATCCCCAGGACCTTGGCTTTGAACTGATATGCGCCATTGGCCTGACCAGTTCGAAGATCCTGTGGATATCACTGTGGACACCAAGCGTCATTTGTTGTTTTTCTCAGAGCAACAGCTGTCTCTACTCTGTCAGGCGAAGCGATGGTATGCTGATGGAACATTTAAAGTGGTCAGGGCACCCTACACTCAGTTGTGAAGTATACATGCTTTTTTCCGTGTGGAGGACCAGACAAAGCAGTTGCCACTGACCTTTGCTGTTATGTCTGGGAAACGTCGGCGGGATTATAAGGCTGTCCTGCAGGCTTTGAAACGGGAACTTCAACCCAGAGATATTTCCTGGAACTTGGAATGTGTCGCCATGGACTTCGAAGCTGCTGTTTTGCCTTCTGTGCAGCCTTTCCAGCAGGGGTTGAAGTTTGTGGATGCTCCTTCCAATGGGGGCAAGCAGTATGGAGTAACATACAGGGGCTTGGGATGCAACATGCCAACCAAAACGACCTAGCATTCCACAGTTATTGTCGACAGCTCCTGGCACTGCCGTACCTTCCTTGGGAGAATATAGACAGCAGTCTGGAAGAGTTGGAAAGGGAGGCTACAACAGAAGGGCAGCGCTGCCTCTGCACCTACATACACCTGACATGGATTGACTCAACAGATTGGCCACCTTCCAGTTGGTCTTGCTTCTACAGAAACTTACGGACCAACAATGACGTGGAGGGGTGGCATGGCTGGCTGAACTCCAAGGCTTCCAGTGCAGGAAATCTTAACTTGTATCTGATGCTGCAGCTACTGGCAGAAGAATCCAGGCTTATGACTGGAGGGTGCCAGTTTCTTTAGGAATCAGCAGTCATCAGGCGCCAAAGAGCTGATACCAGGACCACCAATGCCAAGCTCTTCAGGATCTGGGATCGCCTGGTGACCAGGGAGAGGACAGCCCGCCAAATTCAGAGAGCCACCAGTCATCTTTTACCATTTTAGATTTGTTAAAATGCATATAGTAAGGACATTCACATTTTAACAGGTTTAGTACACATTATTATTATGGTTGATTTAAGATGTAAAGTTTTGCATTTTACGCAGCAGGTTTGATTGAAATTTTAACAGGGTTGGGTTGATTTAAATCAGTTGATTAAAAAAAAAATTTAAATCAGCTTGATTTTTTAAATAAAAATCATTTATTTAAATCATTTTTTTTTTTTTTTTTTTTATTCAGTTTTTACACATTTCAACATTCAGAATTCCTTTCCTTGGTCTCATAAAACAGATATAAGGTTTAGTAGACTAATATATTCATTCTTAAAAGTCTGCTTCCCACCCTTTCACTGTAAAATAATACAGAATTCAATTTACTTTTTTTTTCATAATTGAAATCAGAGCTGGGTTGATTTAAATCAGTTGATTTTTTAAATTTTAATCAACTTGATTTTTAAAATAAAAATCAGTGATTTAAATCACTTTTCAAAAAAATGTATTCAGTTTTTACATATTTAAACATTCAAAATTCCTTTCCTTGGTTTTATTAAACAATATAAGGTTTAGTAGACTAATATAATCATGCTTAAAAGTCTGCCCCCCCCCCCCACTGTAAAATAATACAGTTCTCAATTTACTTTTTTTTTCATAATTGAAAACCAGGGTTGGGTTGATTTAAATCAGTTGATTTTTTTAAAATATTTAAATCAACTTGATTTTAAAAATAAAACTCAATGATTTAAATCACTTTTAAAAAATGTATTCTGTTTTTACATCTTTAAACATTCAGAATTCCTTTCCTTGGTTTTATAAAACAGTGTCACTGTAAAATAATACAGTACTCAATTTACTTTTTTTTTCTTAATTGAAAACCAGGGTTGGGTCGATTTAAATCAGGTCGATTTAAATCAGTTGATTTTTTTAAAAATTTAAATCAACTTGATTTTAAAAATAAAACTCAGTGACTTAAATCACTTTTAAAAAATGTATTCTGTTTTTACATCTTTAAACATTCAGAATTCCTTTCCTTGGTTTTATAAAATAGATATAAGGTTTAGTAGACTAAAATAATCATGCTTAGAAGTCTGCTTTCCCCCCTGTCACTGTAAGTAGTAAAATAATACTGTATTCAATTTACTTTTTTTTCATAATTGAAATTAGCATTTTCTTTTTCTTTTTAGACATACACAAGCGCGCGCACACACACACACGCTGTAATAAAATGCAAGTTTATCTATGCATAATTACCCCCGTCCCCCTTCCTTTTAGACTGACTTTTTCTTCATTTTTTGTCTGTAGCCATAATTCACTGATATAGCAGATTAAGGCTTTCTAAAACTGCAGTTGCTTAAATTAATCATTAGTTAAAATAAAGACAATGCATTTTGCACTAAAAGAACTTACTTTTAGCCACCAAAAATCCCAAACTGTGTCAACATTTTTTAAATTAATTTTTAAAAATTTTAATCCGATTTAAATTTTAAAAAATCGATTTTTTAAATTTTTATTTAAAACATTTTTTAAATCACCAACCCTGAATTTTAATTACTTTTATTGTTTTTTTCTGTCTTCATACTTCGGTTGAATTTTATGCAAAGTTTTATTGACATCGATGCACAAATGACAGACTTATTTCCCGTAAAATTTTGATTTAAAAAACAATTTGTGCCTATAGACGTCTAGATCGTGCTCTCTCCCATCCTGCCATCTCCCCCTCCATTTTCTCACCCCACCCAGGTGTAAAAAGGGTAGATCTGCCAACTAAAGACATCGAAGGTATTGTGAAAGTAGGTGTTTCGCACGTAACAGGTTGCAGCCCCTGTAAGAAGAGATGATGGCCTCCGGACAGCTCCGGATTGCGATTAGTAGAACCCTCCTGGTCTGTCTTTTTATGTCGTGTTAGGTCTAGTAGATCTAGAAATCTAAACTTGTAAAATTTAATACAGTGGGACTCGGATTCAACGAGAACTCGGATTCAATGAAAGGAGATGGATTCCCCTTTTTTTTTCTTCTTTAAAATCAATAATAAATGACCTGGCTTCAACGAACACTTAAATGGAGAAGCTCGGATTCAACGAGGTCGCTTCCATGGTGAACAGCCCCACAGTCATGGCTTTGCTCATTTTTTTCCCTCAACGAACTTGATCTATTCCTGGAAACCATCCATTACACCTGCATTGTGAACCATTATTCACATAACCGATTGCAAGCGACCAATCAGCGGCCTTCTTTCATACCAACATATGCATTGTTGGCATGCACATGTGTCTACTCTTGCATGTGTCTGGGACGGATGGGTGGCCTGAACACGTGTGGCTTTGTGTGCGTGTCGGGGGGGAAGGGGGGCACCAGCGTTTCGAACGTGGAACGTCGCAGATACAAACACGTCGCAGTTTTCTTTCCCCCAGCAACTGATCATTATTACAGTGATAAACAAGTCTTGACGTAGATCTACGTAATGAATTGTGCGCTGGTCTATGGAATCAAAAGTTGCCGTATGCTAGGCTCTACACAACAACACAACGTTTTGGCAAACATCGAGATGACATAGGCGTGCATTTGAGTGAATCGGCCTTTGTTTTTGCACAGCTCATATTAATATATGCCGACATGTGAGGCACTACTTGTTACTTCTCTTTATTCATTACTTGCTCAGTGCCTGTAATTACGTACACAAAACCTCATGTTTGCTATATGAACACTCAGATTCAACGAGACTTTAGGCAGGCGCGGCGACCTCGTTGAATATAGATCTAAATATATATATTATATATGTGTCTGAGTGTGTAGGAAGAATTCAAAGTGAATACAGTGACAACCCCTCAGAATACACGTCAGGGTGCGGTTGAATCAGGCTCTCGTCAAATTTTGGGCATATATGGAGTTATTGGTATAATCTTATAACCTATTGATTTGCCTTGCTTCTGTTGAAAGAATTACCCATCCATCTTCAATACAAGTCGAGTTATTTACAAGTGTTTAAAGGAGGTGGGGGTCGGCCAGTAGCAGAGGTAAAAGTTTAATTAGTGAGAAAATGGTCACTAAAGTTTGGCAACTTTGTAAGATTGAGAGACCTTGAAAAGTGCAAATTTACGTTTTTTGTGCCTTTGATCAGCGTTTTTCAGTAAAAATCCACTTGCAAATGGGTTTTTTTAATGGACAAATTTAAAAAAAGGTGTTGAGGAAAAAAAAAAAAGTGTTGAGCGAAAAAAAAATTGAATAAAAATGGCCCAACTGGCGGAGAAATGCCATTTTCTTGAATTTCATATTGACAAGCGTCTGATTTCGCAAGGATGCCTCACATGTATTTAATGGTTCGTTCTTAACATTTATGACAAACTTACGTTTTGACCCAAAAATGTATATATTTGATCTGTCATTCACTTTAAATTACGTTTATTAAATTATACTCTGTTCATAATATGTTTCTGTGTACGTACATGTTTTAAAAGTTTATTAACATTGAAAAATCCTCAAAATATATTTAATGGACAATAAGTAGTTCATTCATAAACAATGATTACTATAGTAAAATATTGATTACGTTACACACCTATACACTAATGATAAAAATAGAAAGAAAGCAAGGTCTATAATACGTCCTTTAGATGGGTTGAAATTATAAATAAGTCTCAAAACAACTGTTAATTATGTGGTAGGAGGTTTCGTTCATCATAACAAAAGTTTACAAAATGTTCGTTCATAATATTATGACGATCCATTATGAGGAGCATACTTTTGCCTCTTCTTCGCTTTTCTTTTGAGTCATCAGCATGCTGTTTGTCCATGTTTATGCAACAATGTAACAGGAGGGTTGTGAAACAGCGGAAAGTCCATGATATTTTGTGTGAATGTCATCATCATACAGTGTTCGTTTATTTTGACGAACCTGGATTATCTCAATCAATGTCACATTTAAACAAAACCTTGCCACGGAGAGGAAAATTACTCTTTTGATAGATCAATGTGGAACCAGTGTTTAATACCAGTCATTCCTGGGGATGTAATTATGATACAAGTTAAGAACGACCTTGTAAAATTTTACTCAGCAATAATATCATCAATATCAAAAAATGAAACCCTGTCAGTGATCAAAAGGCATTATATTATAATGGTGTGTATACTCAGTATTTTCAGTGTTTGAATGCACTTCTGCTTGATAGTTTAGAATTAACAGTATTCTATATTTAACATGCAATTACCGGTGTACTGAAGATGAGTTTTTAAAAATGCCCTATTTTTAGTGCTATTACCTTTCTATGAAGAATTATTAGATGATAAATCTGCTCATGAAGCTTGATTAACTTATTTCCTTGCCATATGCATTATGTCCTCTATAATTACCTCTTAAAACGGAGAGAAAAATTCCTTCTCTTCAGAGAGTTTTTACCTGTCCTTAAGACAGAAAATACTTTGCCCACTCAGGTGGAAGGATAAATTCTGTTCAATCGTTTCGTCTCAAGCTTACATCTGTATGACAACAAGATACATTAGATATCTAGACTCAGATCTTGTCCCACCAAGATAAAGGTTTGCTTAGCATTTCATTTGCACACATTCAATGGAAAGCAACTGACCCCATTATAATGCGAGTATTCTGACAAATGACCAGTAGATAATTATAGAACATCATTATTTTTAACAATACCTTGACCTAGCTTTTTGTGCGAGAGTCTAGCTGTGTGCGGTACAGTTTGACCATAGTTCTCCCTGTGAGAGAAGGATTCTATCAGTCAGGGGCTGCTGCCCACAATGCAGCCTCCATTCTATTGTAACCCCCTTGGGTCAAACCCATACATGATGCACAATCAGTGGCCAGTCTCGACCAAACTACACTGGTAACATAGTGCACTCTGTTTTTGCACTTTTCATCAGAGTGAAAAAATAATTGCAAAATATATCGTATATGCTTGTCCACATATTTTTTTTTGGGGGGGGGGGGTTATCATTTTCTCAAGAGATGACTTATGTCAACCAAAAGTCTTCTCGGGACCTATCATTTAGTTCAAGTTTCGAAGTGCGTGTACAACTTTAACAAGTAATGAACTTGTTTTTCCTCAATCCTAACAAATTGCTTTCTGCACTTGATACATTTCAATTGCATGCCGTCAATATACGGTTCATCCCATCACATGTATACCAAACACAAACAAATCAAAATATTTTCAAGAAGAGTTCACAATTTTTAAAAAGTGAAGTGCAGTTATGTATTATTTTGTAAATTTCTCTCTTATTATTCAGAATGCTGTTTTCTCTTGCAGGTACCACAGCGGCTATGTCTACTGTTTTCATTCATATTGGTCAATGTGGAAATCAACTGAGTGTTCCTTTGTGGCAAAATTTCCATTCTGGTACTCAGGATGGACAGAGTAATTATGTGTTTTCTTCACTTGATGGCTTCCACCGGAGTATTCACATAGACAGTGAGCCCAAAGTTGTGAATACCTTGCCCAAAATATTTAGAGTAAGAGATGGCAATGTTGTTGTGGGGAAACGTGGGAGAGGAACAAATTTTGCTTTGGGATACCATGGCCTTAAGACAGCAGGGGATGACCATGTCCTTGAGAACAGTATGGATGCCATCAGGCGAGAAGTTGAACGATGCGACTCATATTCTGGATCTGTTGTTGTACACAGTTTGAGTGGAGGTACTGGGTCCGGACTTGGTTCACACATAATTGAACACTTGAGAGATAGTTTCCCCTGTAATCATATCATGTCTTGTTGTGTGGCTCCTTGCTCTAGCGGAGAAAGCCCATTACAGAGCTACAATGCTTTACTGACTCTTAACTGGCTGCAAACTTATTGTGATTCAGTTATTTTGCTACAGAACGATGCTCTTGTTGCATTTGCAAATCGAGCAAAGAAAGATGGTACTATTCCTCAAGTTTCTTTTAAGGACATTAACAAGGTTGCAGCAAACCGTTTAAGCGGCCTTTTTATGCCAACTGATACACTTTTAACCTCAAAAGGGTTTTGCTCTGGCCAAGAACCATGGGAACTTGTTAGAACTTTAACCCCAGTGCCCTCTATGAAGTTTGCTTGCACTTCCCACTTCAGCTCCAATAAACTCTCATGGGAAGGCATTACTTCCAAAGCATTATTGCAGTGTCCCAAATATAACTGTGATGGCAAGCAAAATGTGGCAGTCTCTGCAACAGTTGTAGCTCGAGGGGACACCTTAGGGTCTTTTATGTCAGATGTCAAACATGGTTTGGATAAAAAACTTAGAAAAGGCTTAAACTTTGTAGCATGGAACCCATACCCACTGGACTGTTGGACAAAGCAAGCAGCCTTGCTAGGTGCTCAAGACAACAGCTCTAGTATGACCCTGGCTGTGAATTCTTCAAATATCAATGAATTTCTTGAATTAGTACTGACACGGTCCTTGGCAAAACTTGATGTTGGAGCATACAGCCACTGGTATCATCGATATGGAGTGTCTCAAGTGAGTATGTTGTGTACAAAGGTTTTTAAGTACTCTTTCTGTATCAATCTGAAAAGTTTGCCAATCATTATTCGCTAAAGAATTTAGATTTCATTTTTTGCCACATGCAGACATCTTTCCTACTGAGGCTTTCTAGTATACTGTCAGTGCTATGATCCTTATTATGTGGCTTAGGTGTTGACTATTAATTAATTTTTTTTAGCTATAGCAGAAGTATATCAATGCAATATAATAAAGTAATAAAAATAGTACTATTGATACTTGAGAGATAGGGGAAAGAATGAGAGCACTGACAGCTGCGATAACAAGGGAATGGAAAGAAGTAAGACTCAGTCTATTGTACCATTCAGCTGCCAGCTTTGGACATAACATCGATGTCCAAATATTTTTGTTTGATTTCAAGCTCATACAGATGTGGCTGGTGGATGATTTTTTATTCATTTATTTTTTTAAGTTTAACCGAGGTCTACCCAATCTTTTCGGATAAGTCTAAAAACTTGTTACTACTGCAAAAATACCCTTACAGCCGAATATCAAAGAAAAGTGGTACATTAATTCCTGCTCAAGACTGAAAAACATCTTGTCAGTCGAGATACTATTAATATTTTGGCTACGTGAAAGGTGGGGGTCACAATGTTCTCCCAAGAAAATAGCCCATATTCTGAAAAATCCATAAATGTACAAGTTGAAGAACTCACATTCAACTGTTCTCCCAGTAGCAAGGTAACACTAAAGAAGAAGACTAAAGAGCCGACTAACATTAGTAATCTCTTTCTTTAATCATATGAACTATGTTGTCAGGCTGCAGCAATTCAATGTTCATAATTTAAATTGTGCATAAGGACTTTTTTTTTTTGGCTTTTCATTTGTATTTCATGCACAAACACTATAATAATTTGGACTTTTCCTATTTACCAGATACATCCCAAACACAATAACTTGAAGTAAAGTACTTTTGAAAAAGAGGAAATTATGCTTTATATTTTTCTCCTGTTTTGCAGGACCTATTCAGTGAAAGCATTGAAACTGTCAGGACCATCATCTCTGAATATGAATCTTCAACTCGACTATGATATCAACAACAGCTGATTTGTATTTTGTCCTTTGTGAGATACCCAGTACTTTTATGATAAGGTAAGGTTGAGAAATTGATGTTGCATATATTCTTTCAGCTAGAGGGAAGTGAGATTTAGACCTAAGACCTTTTCAAGCCTAAATCAGATATACTATTACATTATAACTACAAGGTTTTCAATGTGAACCCCTCTTCTTTGTCTCAGTATCGCTGTCTCTCTCTCTCTCTCTCTCTCTCTCTCTCTCTCTCTCTCTCTCTCTCTCTCTCTCTCTCTCTCTCTCTCTCTCTCTCTATCTCTCCGTCTCTGTCTTTGTCCCTTACTCTGCTTTGTCTCTTTTTCTCTGTGTGTCTCTCTTTCACACACACACACACACACACACACACACACACACACACACACACACACACACACACACACACACACACACACACACACACACACACACACACACACACACAAACTCTCTCTCTCTCTCACTCACTTACACACATTTACCTAAATAGATTCACACACGCTTACTCGCCTTTTTATTGGTTACCTGCATATGGAATCACCTCCCGTTTTTCCTCTTTCCCTCATTATTTTAGGTTAGATGAAGGGAAAGTTACAGTTTGTTTCATTAGGCCTTATATGGAGATAAAGGACATGTTTGTTTAGGTGGGGAGGTGGGATGGGGATGGGAGAGGAGGGATTGGAAGGGGAGGGGAGGGATTGGGACAGAGAAGGAGACTGGGACTTTTTCATTTTTTTCCTTTCCTTTCTGGTTTTTTTTAAGGTGGGGGGTGTCTTTAATTTTGCGGAATTCCTGCCTCCCCCGAAACTTAAAAAGAATAACAGTAGTTTTGCACCTTTAACAGTACATTTATGAAAAAGCAGGGTATTATTTCTCTACGATGTGATAAATCATGGCCCGAGATTTATGGTGAAATTTAGTAGGATGAAAAGAAAGCCTAAAAAAATGATTAACATTTGCCTTTCCTGTGGCAAGACTCAGAAAAGTCAACCACCATCTGCTTTTGGCATCATTACAATCTGTTTCATCACAGGCCAGCAGAGGAGGGATGTTGCAGGGTGAGGCACCCATGTCAACAAAACATGAGGTCTGGTATTATCAATCATTAAGACCGATCTCATTACCCCGGGGGAAAAGGGAATTTGTGGGGGGGGGGGGGGGGGCGCGTCCTGAATGACCTCCTCTGACTGAGCTTGATTGTTTTGGCTTTGCTAGTATTTCAGATGTGTGTGTTGGATCCGCTGGCAATTGTACTTTTTCCCTTTCATTGGGAAGAGAAGAACAAAAGTTTCGGTATAATCAGATTAATCAGGCATAACTCATATAGTTTGAATCTGAACTTCTAGTAATTTTATAAATATGTAGGTAAAAAAATGTAAAGAACAATTTTTATGAACTTCAAGTTGAGACGAAAATGCATTTGATAAATAGATCTGTGGTCAGCAGAATTGTTTGTATAGAATGGACTAAATTCTTTAGGAGTACTGTCACCGCCAAGTCTTAGGAGTGGAGGCTAAGGAAATGTTTTGAATATAATGTTTGAATATATTATGATATGTAGGCCTATAATATATGTGTTTTTTGTATGCATACAATATACATAGGCTTGAGCTGGTTATCTGTTCAAAGAGGACAACCTGTTGTACTTTCTATGACTCATGTCCCAGTTTGCCTTGTGGGACTTTTTGCAGGTTTCCCATGTAGGCTAAATGAGGAGTCTTGTGCTGCGCTTATTATTCTTATGAGATTAATGACTGTTATGAGTAATGATCCTTCAACCCTTGCTGTAAAGCATACTCTGTTGAATGTACACATATATTATATATATATATGTGCAGTGGTAGACTTGGAAGATAATGTTTTACTGTGTATTGTTACACCATGTTTCATTTATTGAATTCCCTTGGAATTATCTCTGGTGTGTATGTAAAAAAGCAGAGTGATATGTATCACACTAAAATATTTCTTTTGAATGCTGGATCTCAGAAGCTCATTACTTCTGTGAATTAAATGTTACTGGCTTTCATCACTGAATCAACTCCCCCAAAGATTTTATGGGATGCTAATAGAATGGCATTCAGTAGTAGGTCCTCTGGTAATCATAATACAGCAGGTTTCTGTATGTTTATCTTTGATATTGTTTTGCCTTCAAATTGCTGTTGATGATACAGGCCTATGAATGAATAGTTGATAAAGCAGTTATTTTTTCTTATTCTTTTGTTATTTTATCTCTTTTGACATGGGTTGTATAATATTATCTTACCCCTTGTTTTTTTGCAAATTCTGTATTATATATTCCAATAGGTTATTGCCTGAACTTTTTAGCCTAATAAATCTTTTTAAATTTGGCGTAAAAAACGTCAAATCATTTTTTATTTCAGGGTTCTAAGTCAGCTCACGATATGACAGTGGGAATGTCTTTTTTAGATTACTATGTTTTTCTTTTATTGTGCTTACCACTTCTTTCACAGAATGTTTTTTTCCTTGACAGGAACTAGGAATATTTTGGGGGGCTGGGGGGGGTACCTGATAACTTAATGAATGGGTTCAAATACAGTGGATCTCCATCTAATAGGGGTTTACGTCACTCATAAAGTTCATCACTGTGGGAATTTTTTTTTTATGTTCCCCTTCTTTTTTTCATACCTGCAAATAATAATATATGCTTTTCCGGGGAAAGTGACAATGGATCACTGAAATTGGTAAATGTCATGTTGATAGTTTCCCATGCAGACTTAAAAATATTTGTTCCTAACCTTACACCTTATTATTTTGTGACACAATACAAGACTGATTTTTCTCTGTATTTATGGCAATGATATAAAATGGCCTTCATTCACCTTTCAATGAGACATCACTTTGATTGTCCCTCTTTGTAAAGTTGGAATCAATTTTGAATTCTGACTGTGCTGAGCAGAGGGATTCAAGAAAATTGAATCCTCTGACTGTACAAAATATAATACTTAATTCTTCATCATGTATAATAAGGAGAGCTCAGGCGCTGGTTGAAGACACCTAGTCTAATTTACTGATACAGAACCTGGAAAATTCCATCTCAAACACAGGATTGTAAAAAATTAAGCTTTACTGAATTGCTCTGATGTGTTGCAATACATGTATACAATTAGAGTTCCTACTTCGGAAAATATGACTTTGATTTACTGTAGGCCTTGGCTTTCTTAAGTTGTTGACACATATCGTTGCTGCCTTTCGCTATCAGAGTAAAATCCATTTCGCATGTTTTGAGTTAGAGTGAAAAGGCAAGTCGAAAAGGAAACCAGAATCTTTTCATCCATGGTTAGAGAAGTGGAAAAAATTATGACTTTCATTGGTAGTAGTTCTTCCAAATCAAAATAGAACACAGATAAGTATATTTTTAGTTCAAATCTGGTAGAAACTGAATTTTCGAATTTTGGATTATACGTGAATAGCGAATGGAAACAACGATATGTTTTTTCTTGTGTACAAGTATATTATATTAAAGATGATTTTCTGTTTCACAGGTTCAAGCTGGAAAATGACGAGAGAACTTTTAGACCTAGATTTTCAAGATTAATTCCTAGGCATGGTATGAGGTTTAAGCGTGATCAACAGCCTATGTATAATGTGTATTGTACAGCATTCTTTTCATATCGTGGAGAGTTAATTCTTCATATATTTCTTTCACAGCTTATTGTTTTCTTGTTTTTGGAGCAGCAAATGTCACCTTGGACTTGGATCATATGACAGTGTCATCAACATTTATAACAACAACTTCCCAGCACAGCAGCCCATCATCTGAAAGTACCTTTTCTGTCTCTGAGAGGGAGAAAGAACTTTTGGTTTGTATGGGTTTTTTTTCTTTTACTTTATAATATGATGGCCCTTTTATATGGCAAAAAATGTTGATGTTAGCTTATGGAATAGATCAGGCTTGTAAAAAATGTGGACGCTTACAAGCACAACAACAGCCTGCAGAGAGCTTCTACAGAAAATTGTTTTCAAATTTTCGAAAAGTTTTCACCTTTAAAAATGGATAGCACTTCTCACATAAGAGAAAAAGGAATGGCAAGTGTTTTTTAAAAAGTGGAAATTACACTATTTTTGCACAACAGTGGACAGAAAGATGAGTTGTTTAATTTGCAATGTCTGAATCACCACACCAAAAGAGTACAATTTAAAAAGCCATTTTAAAACAAACTATAGATCTTACGATAAATATGTGTAGGCTTACTTGACCTAGCAACAGACCACTTCATGAAAATTCAAAGAAGAATATTGCTTCCATCGTTGCAAGCTATGAACTTATCCGAATAATTACCTTGAGAGGGATATGTTACAGTGAGGAGATTTCACAAAGCAATATCTCATAAAAACAGCTGAAATTGTGTGGCCAAAGAAAAGAAAGCATTTTTATTCAAAGACATTTAATTAACAAGGAACACTGTAGCTGAATGAATTGATGAAATGTCAGTTAATTTGAAGCACAAGTTGGTGGTGTATTTTCATGGTTTGAACACTGTAAAAAAATTGATATAATAGCTGAGACTGTTGACATCACTGGAATAGCACAGCTTGCAGTCTTTATCAGGGTATGTGACATTGACTTTAATATTTATGAAAAACTCACCGAACTGGTCCCTAAATTTTAAAACTCCAGAAAGTTTGCCGCAAAGAGAATGGCAATGTTTGGTTCAATTTATGTGTGTGGACCTTATTTTTCTTTATGTTTATGAAATTGACAATAACTTTTCAGAGGATAGTGAGGCTGACTGATCAACACTGAGATTTGTCATCTCTGATGTAAGTCAGAACTGCACAGAAGTTTCAGCTGGAAATACCGAAAATGGTCGGCAAAAAGAGCAGACTATATTTTTCCATTTAATTGTATTGTCTTTGTCAAACTTCTTCATTAGATCTACTTTATTTCTAAATGCAGTTAAGACATTTGTACTCACATTGTAAGTTTCTTAATTTGTGTCACGACGCGGAGGAATCGGGCGCTCGTTGATATCTGAGTATATGGAGTCACCGGTATATTCTTGAAGCTTTTTCATTTACCTTGCTTTTGATTTTTTTTTTTTATACTCATCTATCTTGAATAGCATTAGTGGTATTTGTGATTGAAGGAGATGTGTCGCATGGTGACAGATGTAGAATTGGCAAGAATATGGCTGCCAAAGTTTGGTGACTTCCAAAGCTTGAGTGTCCTTGGAAACTGTAAACAGACATTTTTTGTGCCTTTGAACATTTTTCTGTAAAATCTACATAGAAATTAACATAAAAGATGGTGAGCCAAACATGAAAATTAGAAAAAAAATTGATAACCGCAGGTTTCTTTGATTTTATTATTTTGATGAACGCCTGATTTCACCACGATGCCTCAAATTGAAAGGACCAAACATTTTACAATATTATATATTACTTTTATTATGTTATGAGAAAATAGTTGTGTGTGGTCCCCATAACAGCACTTATGTGACCCTTGAGGGAGCCTCAGTTCGGCATGCCTAGAGTAGATGACAATGGTGTCAGAACATGGATGAGAAAAAAAAGTTGGGGGGAAGTATAATAAATGAACTTAGAATGACATGGTGAAACCATATTTTAATTTTTTTATAAACTCATAAGGACAATTTTTATAAACAGCTCTCTCTTTTATTTTGATCTGTCAACAGAGTGTTTAGTGTACAGTGGAGTCCACTTATAACGAGTTCTGAAATAACGAGAAGTCTGTTATAAAGACACTATTCTAAAACCCCGTTTTTTTCCCTTCTTTATCTTTGTAAATAAAATACTGCTATAGCGCAATCAGACAAACACGCGAGTTGGTTATAGTGGAATATAGCTGCTTCTGTGCACAGCGCAAAGGCCAATTTTATGCATCTAAAACCTCGCCAGTTGAGAAACCTAGTGATCTAGCAAAACAAAGAATGGGAGAGCACATGTGTGCCAACAATGAAGGCCGGAGCGAATGATTGGGGAGGGTGTGGCATGCGCAGACAAGCAGTTGTGAAGCAGAATGCATCGCATGATAGGCCAGCCTAGTCTAGATTATCTAGGCCTACCATGCTTCTCACTTCTCCGATGCAGGGATGGAGAAGTCACAGTGCTGGTAGGGATGGAGCGAATGTGTGACGTGCGCAAGCAGACTGAATGCACCACAGGGTGTGGTGAGGTGGGGGACAACACAGCGAGTGAGTTAGCCTAGGGAACTTTCTTTCTGATGGCCAACACCGAGTTGTCAACATCACTAGCGCAAGAGAAAGAAATCTGATTCGATTTTTGACCGAGTAAGACCAAGAGGTCATATTGGGCAAAATCCTCACTAGGAGGGATATACAGCAAAAAGAAATAAACAGAACACCAAACTCATAGATTAGGCCTACTTTATTATTTCTCTTGAATTTATTACTGGATCCCTTACAACGAGAATCCTGCTATAACGGACAATTCATACCAGTCCCCTCCCTCTCATTATAACAGGATTCCACTGTACAAAAAGCAGACCCCCTGAATATTGACAATGCGGCCTCTGAAGAAAAGCTTTGTCTTGTAGGTTGTAAATGTACGAAGACAAACTGTTGAAAGAATAAAGCAAGACAATGTACAGAGTTCGCTGACCGTTAGAAAAAGTGATCATGCATTTGACTGTAGAAAAGTTTATGTTTTCCCTGAGCTTGAGCCTGTCAACTTGCCCAACAACTTCTCATTAATTGTCTGTTGACTGCAACAACTTCCTGACATAATATGGCTAGTTTTTTTATCTGTTAGGTCAGCTGTTGAATTAACCTTTTCCTGTTCACATTCTTCACCAAAAATGGCCACTTTGGGCCAAGTTGAACAGGAATGGGTTAAGATATACACCTATGCTTGTTGCCTCTTTTTTGTCAGTGAGCCATGTCATTCCTCGAAAAAAGTTTTTTGTCTTAAAATAGTGCCCATCAGCAGGATTGGTTCAGTTCGGTTCGGTCGTTCAAATTAAGTCGAGGCGAGCCAGATTTTCCTCCATGGAGGGGCAAAAGCTACCTTCGTGACACAATCTGAACGAAATGGATGATGATTTTCATAAACAAACTCGTTTGTTTTTTCGGCTGCAAGTCGAATGATCGGTTTGTGTACAGCCAATAACAACAAGGCCTGTTGCCTATGAGTCATGTCACCATCATGAGATTGCAATGTCAAGGTCAGTCAGGCATTTTCACGCAAAATGTCATAACAAAAGAAAATGGACTCTGTAGGTCTGAAGAAGATCATTGAGATATACAGATGGCTCTCATGTTTATGGGATTCCAGAACACTCTGCAACATAGTTACCGTTATGCAGAAAGCAGCCCTGGAAGGCATTATATAAGAGTGTGGTTTTCCCGTGAACAATAGGTTTTGTTAACTTAACGTCATTTGATGCAATTGAGGCAGGGGTCTATGTGTAGTGTGCACTGAAGCCTCCAGAAACCGAACTGTTCCAAACCAAATCGAACCAAATCGATCCTGCTTATGATATTTATTTATATCATTAGGAAAGGTCTTGAACATGGTTTTTTTCATTTATCTTGGCCTATAGTAAAAGTTCCCCGGAAACATACAATGGCATGTTATAGCACAGATATGAAAATGTTACAAATTTGAAATTGCACAAAAACTTGTCTGTTCTATCTGATAGACTACTCCTTTACTTTGATGCTTTATATGTTTTGTTACTTTAAGTTGCAGAAAATAATGGAAACCATTCTGTTTAAGTTTAATGCATTCTTATGAAAGTGAATACTTTTGAGAAAAGCAGGCTGTTTTCCATAACAGGATGAGTGAGGATTCTGTAGTTTGAACAGTCTTAATACATTATGTTCCTTGTGCAATGGCACCACTGTCATGCTGTGTCTCATATACTTTAACTCAATAACTTTATGACAGATAGTGCAAAGAATTTTTTTACCCTTACTTTCTTTATACCACCCACGATGTGTAAGAATGTAGTTGTGTCATTCATCAAATCAAAGTTAATTGCATGCAGAAGCTGAAAATATAGAAATAATGAATGCATGTCTTGTAGGCCTATTTATTATACTGAAGAAATAATGGTAGTGATTATGAAAAATACTGTTGAATACTGGCAGGGTTCTTCCTGGCTAACATTATGATCGTCATTCTATGTTTAACTCTTTGAGACCTTGCAGTGGCGAGTAAAACTGCCCCTATGCCTAGCCACCAGTACAGCGGTGAGGGAGACCCCATCCCCGACCCGGCCCGCCTAGAACAAAATGCTTACTTCACAAGACGTTATCGTTATTTTGAAGATTTTTCTGAATTAGATGCTGGTAATGACAAGGACTACCCTGAGTGGGATATGGAATGTGATTCTGATGATCATAATATGAATAGATATGTTAGTAATATATCGTTCAGGAGCTGTGGCAGAGGGGCACGGTAGCCTCAGGAGGTCAGGGCCAAAGGGTTAAAGAGTTAAATTAAATTGAAAGGTCTGATGGACTGAAGAAGGATTTCATTTTACTTTTTTTTTCAGAACATCACAGGGAAAGAAAAAATATGCTCCAGTGTCAATATTTCTACCTCACAAACTGAAAGTGAAAGGCGTCAAGAGTGCAAATTCACAGGTTCAGTATTGGATCGCTTGGTGTTATTCTTACAGCATGAATTTCAAGAGATAGACTGCAGGTAAGTAAAGTTATTATGGAAGTTTTGGCGTTGTTAGAGTTGTTAATCGAGCTAGTGGGAGTCTCTTTACGTAATTTTTCTTTGTTGCTTTTTATTATTCAGCTCAGTATAAGATTGTTTTATGCATTGGGAAAAGGAGAAAAAAATTTTCCTCAGAGGTCATGTACGTTAGGGTTTTAAAGGAGCAAATTGTAGAGATTTTTTATGTTCTGCCCCCAGAGGAAGCGCTTTGAGACATTTTCTTGGTTTTATTTTGTCCAGTGGGTGGTTTAGAGCTGCACACTGTGTTTAGTGGGGGGGGGAAATTATAGAATTTATTTGGTCCTTTTAAAACATATTTTTTGGGGGGGAGGGGGGAGGGTTTGTCTTTTACTTTTATACAGGGTTATAAGCAGAGATAACTGTCCTTTTATTTGCCTCTGATCAGCTCACAGTTTATTCCACAAATACTAGTTATGGTTAGCAATGTGGAGTGTTGCTCCTCAATAGGGCAAAAATATATCTCATGTTCAGCTGAAATTGCTTTATTTAGAGTAAAACAAAACAGAATTTAATTAAAAACAATTACTAAGTGGGTTTTTGGGTTTTTTTACACAGGATACTAGTACAGTAGTCTCCGCCTAAATGCACGCCATTCAAAAGCACGCTTCGCTCAAACGCACGCTTTCGTCCTCTACGTTTTTTTTTTTTACTATATAATTTAGACGTACAAACGCACGGTCACTCCCCCTAAACGCACGCTCCAATCTGCGAAACACGCTGACAGGTAAAGCTTGACTAAGGGAAATTTCACTACGACTACTGTACGATCTGCACAGCTTGCATAAGACAAGCCTAGAAAACCGGATATTTTGCGAGACTGCCCCTTACGCCGAACAAAGAGAGTGATGGACAGCGTTTTCACACACAACTCTCCAGACACATAGGTGTAGGACTGGTTGGTGATATGTCGGGGGGGTTGGGGGACTGAAACGTTATTTGATTGGTCACTGGAAATGCATCTTTTTGAGAGAAGGTTTCTGACTTGTGTTTGAGTGACTGCGTGTTGGCTAATGTTTAGTTAGACCTAAGCCTATGATGCGCAACACGCGTGAATGCTTGTTCATGAATTTACGGTCGGGGGTGGTCGCTTGGAAAGCCACCTGGCTGGGCCGTCGTCTCTATGACTATCACCAACAATTTCTTTTTAGGCTATTGGTTCCCGACATTTTATGGTGCATTTATACATCGAGTCTGTCTTTCTGGCCCCCCCCCCCACACACACACCCATTCAACGCCTTTGCAGTCTTAACCGCAGTCGGGGAATTTTTTACAAAACAGTCACGTGTCGTCACATTATCTGCCCAAAGTGACCCCCATCCCAAAGGGAGGTCACTAGAATATCAAGGCAATGAGATGTCTGCGTCCCTTCCTCCCTTTGCTAAGGTTCATGTAAACGCACGCTCCATATCAACACACGCTAAGGAGCCCTCCTGAGTACCGTGCGTTTAGGCGAGACTACTGTATGTACATTTTTTTCTTCATATGATGGCAAATCAAATAGCCTCTCTTAAAAATATGAAACTTCAGAATTTCTTTATTTTAAAAAAAAAAATTGGGGGGGGGGGGGGGGGGAGGGACACACTTTTACAAAAGTTCAAATACCTTTTTTTTAAAAACATTTTTTTCTCTTTTCAACGTTTTTTTTTTCATAGTTGTAGACTTATAACATTGTAACATTTCATCATATTGATTGTAAAAATATAAACATGTTTTTCCTGTATTAACACAGTTTGCACTGTTGTGAAGATGATGAACCTTTTAACTGGATTTGGTAATTTTTCAGCCAAATGCAGCAGGTATCGCAGTCAAGCAAGAACTTGTACTGCAGCGTAAAGCAGCATCTCCACCACTGTGCGGGCACTGATGGTGTGCTCCACTTATCGAGAAATCAGAGTGAATTCCTTGACTTTGGCAGCGTTTTGAAGACAGTTCATGTTTTGTGTGCTGTGAATAAAAGTAAGTGAACCTTTAAAAGATTTTTTTTTTTTTCGAAAAAGTTATCCATTACTTTTTGTCAAGTAGCTCTTACATATTGTACTCTGTCACTGTTTCTGTAAGTGTTAGTCATGATTGATCCATCCTACTTGTGTTTTGTTGCTACTTCAGTTTTTCATCTAAGCACAAATGAAAAAGAAATTGTCTACTTGTTATCTTTTTTTTTCGGCGTAACAATTTCAAGGTAAGGTGAATGCATATTATTGTCGTTTTCATCCTCAAATGCTTCTAAGATGGTAAGTGATGATGGTTAGGAGGTCTAGTTTATAAGTAAATTGATTCTTGCCATGAGGTTCAAAAGTATGTGTCAGCAGCGAGATATCACTCGGCTTGGGGTTAAATATCTAGCTACTTTACATGTAAGAGAGAGGTTAAATGTTATAGGTTTGTTGCTGAATTATGTCCTTGTTGTATACCTCTCTGGTTTGTTTACCTGTACAAGTACAAAGCTACTGTTAAGTTCCTTTTGTGCAATCTTTTTACAGCTTTTGATCATGAATGTATGCTGTCACACTTCTTCAGTGTTGAGTCTTGTATTGGAAAAGAGGTTGGGTCTTTTCTTCAGATGCATGGATCGAGAAGTTACAGTGACATTGGTATTTGTAGGTGAGTAACATCAGTAAATAAATGATTCAATTTAATAATAAGGGAGTGCTTATTTAGGCCACATATGGCCTAAATAAGGTAAGGGAGGGGGGTTTAGCTTATTTAGGCCACACATGCTCAAACTACCCTTTTCAGGCAACTGAGTTCGTTCCACTTTCATAATGGTGCACCTTTCTCATTTAGTACGGTTTTGTCTCAGTGTACAACTTATAAATCATAACCATAATGAATATTGTAAAGAACAAAGCACAATACGCAAAATTTTGCTCAATCCCAATGGTTTGAATGAGGGCCAGATTTTTCCTTCATGGAGGGGCAAAAGCTAGGCTACCATTTTGGCACACTTTGGTCAAGTGAAAAGGTCAAATCCTCCGAATGGACTTCCGGGTTAAATTTGGGGTATAAAAAGTGTGTACACTACGTGGCTGAGTCAAAGTTACACTATCTTTGTCTGAGTGACACTCTCTCTTACTGTCTCGTAGTAGTACATGTAGGCTAGTAGGCCTAGTAGTAGTAGTAGCAAAGATCGTGTAGAGAATATTTGGTAGTAGATTCTATCTATAGGCAGTTTAGTGAACGTGCTCGCAGCAGGGCAAATCGGCCTCGATAAGCCCCGTAGACTTTTGTGATCGGCCACGAAGCCTCGTGTTTTGATGGGTCTAGATCTAGATCTAAACAACTCAGTGTTAATCACACTGCCACATCCGACAGGCCTAGATCTACATCTTTTTAAAAGGAAAACAAAGATCATCAAAATGGTTGAATTCGCCTGAAAATCAATTCGGTAGAACTAGAACTATTAAAATTTGCTTCTGAAAACAAGCTATTTTTATACGAAGGCCATTTTTATAACTCGGTGAAATAAAAACTACTGGCTGTGTACTGTGTTATTCTGTATAAAAATAAATTATGAAACTTCAGGACGTATTATTATTTTCCAGCATCTTTTGACGCCTGAGCTGTAGAGGTTGAAGTTTTCACAACACTAATAGATCTAGTAATAGGCCAGGTAATAGGGCTTTCCGTAAAAAATGCATAGATCTACAAAAGCCGAACCACCGAATCGACCAAGCACCTCGCTCTCCCCTGCACACTGTGATAATGTGTTGCTTCGGTATCGCATTATTCAACTATTAATACGTGCGGCTATGGCAATTGGGATTTACTGACTGACAAAAAATTCAGTTTTGTTTTTATTTTACCATATATTTGACTTTAATAGTGCAGGCGATAGCAAGATCTAGATTCCCTGTCTAGAATCAGTAGTAGCAGGCCTATGCTAGAAGTAGCCAGAGAGCCTACAACTGCTAGATCTAGATCTAACTTATTATTGCTATGCCTTTGGGCTTTGGAATTGAAATAAAATGAATTGCACAGTTCTAGTTACTTTTAGATTCAGCAAGTAACTGTATTTCCAGAGTTAATAATAACAAATCTCAGCATAACAATCACTTTTACTTTTATTAGAATAATTAGATCCAACTTTTTTTCTAAAATCTGTTTTGCGCAAACTTAAGATTTTCTCTACTTGTAGAGCAGAGAATTTACATTGTAAGCCTCTGCTCAGTCTTTTAGTATACATATAATAAAATACACACACACATATATATATATATATATAATATATATATATATATATAGAGAGAGAGAGAGAGAGAGAGATCTATATCATCATTTTATATTGTTTTCGGGATATTTTTAAAACTCTTTTTTTTCAACATGTCATAAAATCAAATTGTGGCATTTTCTTTGAAAAGAATAGCATTAGCAGTGGACTTTTTAGAAAGCGAGTCTCTGATTCAATATTTTTTTAAAAATATGCTAATCAATGAAAATTGCAAATTGATAGTAGTTTAGTCCTGAAGAGGATAGGTGGACTCCGGGGTCTGCAAAGCGAAATACTAGGTTTTAGGATGTAAACCCCGGAGTCACCGTAGTGAAATAAGGTTTGGTTTAAGTAAGGATTGGTGGACCCCGGGGTCAACGTAGTGATAAATAAGCAGGTTTAAGGTGGACCCCGGGGTCTACCTAGCGAAATACTAGGTTTTAGGACAGGTGGACCCCGGGGTCACCGTAGTGAAATAAGTATGTTTCTTTAAAGATTGGTGGACCCCGGGGTCAGCGTAGTGAAATAAGTAGGGTTAATTTTAAAAGGATTGGTGGACCCCGGAGTCACCATAGCCGTAGAGGAATAAGAAGGTTTAATTAAGGATTGGTGGACCCCCGGGAAACCTAGATTAAACCTACTTATTTTACTACGGTGACCCCGCAGGTTCCACCTATTCTAAAAACCTAACTAGCATTTCGTTAGGTAGACCCTGGGGTCCACCTTAAACCTACCTATTTCACTACGTTGACTCCAGGGTCCACCAATCCTTAAAATTAAACCTAGATCTACATGTACTTATTTCACTACATTGACCCCAGGGTCCACCAATCCTTAATTAATCCTAGATCTACTGATTTCACTACATTGACCCCGGGGTCCACCAATCCTTAATTAAACCTATATCTACTTATAATTTCACTACGTTGACCACGGGCTCCGCCAGTCCTACTATAAAATAAACTGAGATCTACTTATTTCACTATGTTGACCCCGGGGTCCACCGATCCTTAGTTAAACCTAGATCTACTACTTATTTCACTACGCTCACTCCGGGGTTCACATCCTAAATCCTAGCATTTTGTTAGGTAGACCCCGGGGTCCACCTATCCTTTTGGCTAGATAGACCCCGTAGTCCGCCTATCCACTTTCTTGATAATAACTGAAAACAATACATGCCAGTTGTCATGAATAGTGAAGAAAAATGATGGAAAAAAAAGACAATGAGGTAGACTATAATTTATCCAAAAAATTGCAAGTGCAAGTGAAGATCATAAAATAATTTTGTTATCTTCTGGTCATCTTTCCCGGTTTATAAAAAAAATTCAGTGGGCCTACTACTAGATCTATGTCTCTGAAGAACATTTTGCTTGCCTTTATTACTTTATTAGCTTTTTTCATGTACATGAAAGCATAGAATATATAGTTTCACACAAATATATGCACAATACTTTGAAAAAGAAAGATATGATCATTGTTTTTTTACGGAATCCGTTTTACGTTGAGAAAAGCGCTAAAAACAAGTTTAAAAATTTTAAGAATGTCCATAATATTAGTATTAGGAATCCGAAATTACTACCTAGTTGGCTTACTCTTTAATAACCATGAGCAGTTAAGAAAAAAAAAGACAATGATATAGGATTTGTCTAAATATCACCATTAGCAATAAAGATTCTGCCCATTTTGTCCAATTATCCTTGCAGGTAAAATCACCCTGCACTGTACCTCAATAAGCACAAAAGGAATATTTCTGTGACTTTGTATAAAGGTGTGGCCTAAATAAGGTAAGGGAGGGGGGTTTAGCTTATTTAGGCCACCTGTGGCCTAAATCTGCAGTGGTCATGTGATTAGTGAATGTGGCCTTACAGAGAATCTCAAGCCCTTTTAGTACTTTTAGGTCAATGATTTTCAGTTGTTTGGTGAGGGAGTGTGTCCTTAAAAAACATATTGTTACTCTAGCTCAAATACAGGGGTGCTAGACCCCGGCCATTGGCTTTGATTATAATAACTATTTGAGATTAAAGAATTATCCTGAGTGTCTTTGCTTTTCTTTTTCCTGCGGATGCTGTTAATACTGTTATATAATATCATTCCACACTCTTCAAGTCATGCTTCCTTGTGATTTTTTCCCCCCACATGTGAACCGCCAGGATGCAGCTCCCTAAGCATGAGTTTCTGTCTTTTTATGTAGCCTATGCTGTATGTAGATGAGGTTTTCTCAGTGGAGATGTGAAATTTGTATTAGCTGACAGAAATACTAATTTAATACAATTAAACTGTTTATTTTCTTGTATCCCTCACAACAAATGGGTCATACCATTTTGCATCTTGGTAGCCTATTCATTGCTGTCCATTTTTAGAGACTGCCAAATATGTGTTCGCTGCTGGATTAACTGACGAAATGGAGGTTAAGTGCCTCTTCCAAGGATGCAGCTTTTACTTTTTATTTATTCTGCATGGGCCTTGGTCACAACTTCATTTCTGTTTTTCAGACATACATCAATGGCAGCTATGTGCATGTACGAAGGCATGGAACCATGTGGTGGACTGACAGCCCAAACTCTGACCTACATTATTGGCGTTGAGTTGGCTCCTCCTACTTGTGTCATCTCATTAGCTGTCTCCTGTCTGCCATCTTTAAGTGTCATTGCATTCATTACAAGTTTTGGCAAAGCAGCTAGAAGTCTGATTAATTAATGTTCATGACGATAAGGAGATTGACTACTATATAAGTGATTACTTCAATAAGCTCCTGGCTCTCATCTACCTGTTTTGATTCCAGTGATGTTCAGTGGGGTTTTCCTTTCCTTAATGAATACCAGCTTATCTTACCTCATCAATTTTCTGAAAATGATTAATTCTACAATTCGGACAGACCATCTTAAGTTAAACAAAATACTGTGGTAAAGTATTTATCACTGTAGGAGTGATTATGTTCTGAAGGAGAAATTTGCAGAAATTTGCAGATTCATTTTATAAAAAAAAGGAAACACATTCTCAAAAGCTGGATTGAAGTTTATCGTTTAAGAGCAACATTATTGAAGCTTCACTCTCGATGCCAGAGATTTCACATCCCTATGGATTGTTTTAATAAAGTTATAATTTAACAAAAAAGCGGTGTAATTTTTTTTCTGTTCTTTCAAATTTCAGATTTTCTGTGCTACAGTGTGAGTTTTATCTAGAACTTGCTTTGAATAAGTGGCACTACTGTGAGTGCAGCATCAGTATGTATTTATGAGGCATGCTGAAAAAATGAGTTATCAGATTTTAGTCCTGTGGAAATACAGTGGAAACCATATACAGTCCACGCCGGCTTTAAGCACGGTCATCGGGAGAAAGCATAAGCGTGCTTAAATCCGAAGCGTGCTTGAGTGCGAATTAGACATAATCAAATCCAGAGATTTTCATGTAGAAAATTTCCAGTGCTATTTCCCTTTGTTTGTAAGTAGGCCTATAGAGCTAGTGGTCCCGCAAAAGTGTGCACTGTTTTTTTACACCCGCCATGGTAGTTTTTGTTTGCTTGTTTTTGTTTTGTGGTCGAATGGGAAATGAAAATTTAATTTAGACGGACAGTCACGATACAGCACACTAGGCCTACACACTGCCTGTGCATACCAGTCCACTGCCCGCTGTGCCACATTCATACCACCGCCTTCATCTCACCTCGCGCTTGATACACAATCAGGATTATCGGATAGCGAGGGTTAAAGGTGAAATCGTAGCCAGCCTCCCTTTCTCGTCTCCCCGACTCTCTTTGTATTTTTTAGTCTGTGTGTAACTTTGCCCTAGGCTAGATCCTATGTCCACGCGTGTGGCTGTGTTCATCTCTCTGCCTTCCTCTCTGCCCGTGTGAGTGTGTGTCTCTATCACTTCCGTTCTCTGTGTTTCTCTTCACACACTCCACTTCTGCGGTGTAGACTGTGTTCGAACTTCGATGGGTCATCTTAAAAGCAATGAAGCGTGCTTGAAGCCGAAGTTACCGTGCTTAAAGGCGTGTAATTTATATAGCAAAAATTCGGTAAGAGCCGTTTAGCGTGCTTGAGTCCGAAACGTGCTTTAAGCCGGCGTGCTTATAGCCGGCACGGACTGTATAACATTAACAGGGATCCTGTAATAACAGGAATTTTTTAAATCCCCGTTTTTTCCTACACTTTGTCTCTATTAAGAGTTATCGGCAATAACAGGGCCTCATTGGAGCCCAGTCGGTTATAGCAGGGACAAAAGCTCGTTAACAATGTGTAAAAAGTAAGAGAGAGAGAGAAAGAGAGAAACGCAGTGATGGAGGAAGCTCACACACGCCACGGCACTACAAGCACACGCAGCGAGTGAAGCGAGAGAGGGCTGCGGTGTGCTGCAGGCTTATACCTAGTCCTAAGCCTAGCTACATGCACGCGTAATGTGTCAAGCTCAGGCCTGCCACTTGGACAAAACCCTTGTTCATGGGTACTTGTGGCAAGGGAAACTACCCATGAATAAATACAGCTGGATTAGTCGACAAATGCTTACTTCCCTTGTATTTCTGATTTAACAGGAATCTCATATAGCAGGACTTTTTCTCTGGTCCCACTATCCGTTATTTGAGGTTTCCACTGTATTAGAAAAAAATTCCAGACCTTAACATCTGTTCACTATGTGTGCATTTCGCTACATACGGATATGTTCACTACGTGCATACTAGACTGTATAAAAAGAAAGCAGGCAACGTGGCGAAATGAAAAAAACAAAAACAAAAATTTGCATATTTGTAAGTCATTAAGTTATTTATTGGAATGGTTCGTCAAATGACTCTGAATTTCTCACACACAAAGCACTTCAAAGTATTAGATTCTACAAACAAAATTTTTTATACAACGGATTTGTACCATTACATTTGAATAAAGTTGGGTTTCTAAATTAAAGAGCACTTCAGATCTTTTTAAGGCCCTCTTTAGGAAAGAATACTTTCTCCCTTCTTTGCTTATTTTAGTAGTAATTTGGAATTTTTGTTGCAGTTCTAGTTTTAGGACAAAGATTAAAGTCAGCACAATTATTTACTATCTCTTATCCGGTAGCAATCTGGATCGATTATAACAACAACATCCGGTAGCAATGGAAATCATGGAAAACAAATTCTTTTGTGTTTGACATTTTCATCTAAAGAGGGTCTTAATGTGAAAAAAAACTAAAAGTCAGTGCACATATATA